TTTAATGTTAATGTAAAATTAATGCATTAAATTTAAAAATATTTAATGTTAATGCAAATTTAATGCATTAAATGTACCCATGTTAATGTTAATGCAATAAACTTGCATTAACATTAATTTTTTTTAATGTAGAAAAAATTGTTAATGCATTAACACATTTAATGCATTTATCCCAGGTCTGCTATAGACACATCCTTTTTAAACTTTTTTTATTCCCCCATTCAATATTGGCAATTAATTTGATGAATGTTTTTCCGTATGTGTACAAGTAATTTTTGCAATCACATTTTCATTTGAAAAATGCTTGAGTAGAGCAAATTTTGTTTAAACAACTTTTCAATTTGGATTTGCATTTTACTTCGAATTTGTTTTACAAGTACATATAAATTAAATTTTGTATTGATTTACTTAGATTTAAAGCGGAAATCGAGTTGAGTCAGAAAAAATGTCTGCTTTTGAGGATTTAGGGTTTAAATTTAGGAAATTAATTTTAAAGTACATAGTAGTAAATTGATTTTGTATTTTATTGAAATAGACTCTATTTAATAGAGTGATGATTATGGTTTTTAAGTTTAAACGTTAAACTTTAAAACTCATAACATTCAGTCGATATTTGAATAAAAAATCTGAAATAGACCAAATCAAATGTCAAAACAAATTTAAATATTTTTCTGTATAACCTAAAGACAACGACAATTTTGACACCTATGTATTTCGGTAAAGAGCGTATACCCGCTGAAAATAATCTTGTGAACCAAAAATACTTGAAAAAAATTTAAATTTCCAGCTAAAAAAGATTATTTATGGATCATATGTATATGGATTCATATATGAAGCATATATTTTCATATATGTTCATATCCGAAAATTGGCGGAATTGGGCACAATCTCCATATATTTTCATATATTTCCATGTGTGTTCATATATTTCCATACTTATCCATATATGGAGAATTTTTTCAAATTTCATTTATGATTCTATATATGACATAATCATATTTCGCCATTTTTCAGATATGAACATGTATGAATATATATGGTCCATATATGATTCATATATGGTCCATATATGATTCATATATGGTCCATATATGATTCATATATGGTCCATATATGCTTCATATATGGTCCATATATGATTCATATATGATCCATATATAATCATATATGATCGTTTTTAGCTGGGTTATTTTTCCCGTAATCAACTTAAAACAAGTAAAAGTTTAGTCGGGCATGGCCGACCATATTATACCCTACACTAGTTACGATAATATCTAAAATGTGTATTATTTTTAATAATAAAGCATTTTTTCTTAATTTCGATATATTTTTGATGAAAAAATTATTTTCTGATGGAGGCTATATATAGGGGCTAGGGTCAATTAAATTTTCTAAAAAAGTTAATTGTACCGAATTTAATTGAAATATACACTTTCAAAGGGGGACTTTGCAAGGGGGCTAGGGTTAAATAAGGGCCGCTCATTGCGATTTATCATTTATGTTTGAATAAAACGTAGTTGTGTCTATTTTTGTAACACTACGTCGTATTAGCATATTAGATTATATGGGCGCTAGGTGAAATAATGGACCGATATCAAAAGTAATGCGTGTACCAAATTTCATCCAATTGTCTTCAAAATTGCGACCTGTAGTTTGATTACAAGGTTACATGGACGGATAGACGGACATGGCTTAATTGACTCAGAAAATGATTCTGAGCCGATTGGGATACCTAAAGGTGGACCATTAATTCTATGCGTTACAAACATCAGTACAAATCCAATATACCCTCCCCACTAAATTGGACATTTTTGAAACAGCTTTCTTCTGAGCAACAAAAAAGGGACCATTTTAAAAAATTAAAAAAAATAAAAAAAATTTTGTTGGAAACAATAAAGAAATAGCTATCTGAACTCCTTTCGACAATTTTCGCTAAGACCGCCCAATGGGTAAAAGGTTACATTTGAATAAAACCCTGTATGACCAAACTGTCCAACTTTGACCCACTCTGACTCCGACAGTTCTTAACCGATAGGGCTGAAAATTTGTGTCTGGCCTACTATCCGATAGTACTAACCTTGGTGCAAATTTCATCCAAATCGATTTTTTGAGATTGTTAACTTGACACGAAATTGTCCATATAAAAAATTTGTTGCCGTTAACAGCTAATATCAAGGATTTAAGCAATTTTTTTATGGAACTAATTTTTTTTTGCAATAATTTTATAGACTATGGAGAAGGGTAAATAAGATTCGGATTAACGGAATATAGCACTTACTTGTTATATTTCATTTTCCGCTTTTCCACATTTGCACGTCTTTACAACAAATGAAATGCCATAAAAAACAAACAAACAATTTTTATTTGGTTATAACCGTAATAAAAGTTTATGGATGGCAGTTATACGTAAAAAAATCTATAATATTTTTGAATTATTTATTTGTATTATGATTATTGTGTGTGATGAAGATGCAGCTGCATTCTAGAAAATCTCTACATGCAACATTTTATTTTATCAATATCTACTAGAAAGTGGAAATAGCACAACCATCTTAAGGTAGCAAAAAAAAAAAAATAAATAAAAACAAAAACTATTGCGAAATATTTTCTCTAAATTTTATGATGATATAAGGAGTATACATCCATTTGTTCTTCTTGTATTTTGATGATGAAATGGGGAATGAAAAGTGCTGTTGGCAAACAAGATTATTAAGACGTGATATTTAATGAAAATTTCATGTTTTTGAACAATATTCTTTTAAGCACTTCTACTTACTCGCTTCACTCATACATTATGCTGCAAAAACTATATTGGTATGGAAAACGTACATATTTGGAGAAACACATACATATATACATATTTAATAAATTATTATTCGACTCATTTAACAATTTTGCACATTAATTTTTTGTAATACTACTATATAATTTTTTCCTTATTTTATCTTTTTTGTTCAATTTGCATCTTGCTACTTATATATAAATTTCAAACAGCAATTCATTCATTAATAGTACATTGCATTAGCAGTTATCTATGTATATATAGCATATAAAAGAGTAGCGTTACTGACCGACTGATGCATCATCGCACAGCCCAAACGGCTGAACCTAGATTCATGAAATTTTGACAGTAGATGTGTTTTTGGTTATGTAGATCCACTAAGGAGGGATTTTTGGAAATTTGTACATTTGCGGGTAAAAAGGGGGAAAACGAGTAAAACAGGTTTTCTTAGTTATCTTACACAATATTAGTGATACAAGAAAAATATTAAATGCACCTGTATCCACTCTTAAAATGAGCAGATGTGTAACAAAGGTGATTTTGGTACCTTTTTTGACCCATTATAACTTTTGAACTAATAAACATTACAAAATTTTTATAAATATTTTGGATACATCTCCCAAAATTATGGGACACCTGTTTCGTACTTTTTTAAAATTCAGTCCTTTTTGGGTGTAAAAGGGAGAAAAGTGTATTTATGGTACTTTTTTAAGGACATTAAGAATTATTTCTATTAAATTACGGACTAACTCTGTAATATTTATTATAATAAAGTTTTTGCTATTACACTGGGGAAAAAAGTACCAAAAAGGGGAAAAAACGGGAAATTTAATTTTATTCAAACTCATTGAGCCAAAATTTATAAAATTTGAAAAAGTAGTTTATTTTCTCACATAAAATAAGCTGTTGGTATATTATTATGGAATTCGAGTACTAAGGCCTATATAGGACCAAATTCGAGTAAATTGTTTGGTACTTTTTGGAAGCACTATTTTTCTGGAACAAATGAATGCTGATTTGGATCGTTTGAGTTTTATCTGTGATATATAGATTTAAATACGGAACATTAATTCTCGAAAAAGTATATTTCTAAGCGAAAAGGGAAAAAATTGTACTCTTTTTAGTAGTGGTACTTTCCACTTAGGTACTTTTGGTACTTTTTCATTCTTCAAATTATACTTTTTGTATGTTCTTTAATATGAATTCAAAACACATGATTATTAAACATACGCGGTCCTCATTGAATAAGATTCTTTAAGAGAGATATTTTTAGTACTTTTTATCTCATACTTTTTTAATTTTCTAAAATATTCAACCTAGGAACATTAATTTTAACATACATGGTCTTGACTGAATAATATTCTGTAAGTAGGAACTATTTGATACTTTTCTATTCTTCAAATGGTACCTTTTAGATTTTTTATAATGGTTAACCGGAACACACGGTCCTTATTATATGAGAATTTATTGAGAGATATTTTTGTACTTTTACGTTTTTCTGATATTACTTTTTGATATTTTTACGATATTGAACATAGATATTGAAAATAAAATTTAAAATATAGGTACCTTAGTGAATTAGAATCTACTGAAAGGGAAAAATGTGTAATCAATTTTAATTTTCTATAAAAGTAAACAAAATTTTGTATGTATTTAATTTAACTTAAGGTAGCGAAGTACCCAGGGTATGCTAGTTAAGTATAATAGTATTTAGGTGTGATAGCATTAGCAGCAGCAGTAATGTTTTCAATGTTATTGAACCATTTTGAAATTGTTTTGTATGTGTTGGTGTATGTATAACATCAACAGATACCTTCAATTACATCCGTCCGTTTGTTAAGTTCACCTTTAATTTCAGATAAATTTACATACATTATTATTCATGTAGATAATTTGCAACACATTAAATATTGTTAGATTTACAGTTTATACATTCATGTGCTTTCAACTGCACTTTCTTGTTGAATTGTACTATTTAGTGGTAGATGTGGAGTGAAAATTAAATATTTTGTTTATTTTGGGGGAAAATATTTTTTGGTGTTTAGTGGAAGCTTAAAAAGTTAACAAAAGTAGTTATATCTCCTCCTTGTTTTATCCCTAACCCTAAATAACCAATCATGGAAAAAATTATCTTATATGGGTGATACTTTTATTGGTTTTTAATAACTTATTTGTTTGTACTTTAAATATTATTAATAAAATGTTTAATTTTTTTCAGAACTGTTTTAAAAATTGATCTCATATTACGAGAATAATAGCGGTAAGTTTTAATTACATTTATATCTTATAAATACTTCTAATTTAATTATACTAAAAGTAATTTTAAGCTTTAATAAAAGCATTAAATGCTTTTGAGTAATTTTATGGTATATTTTTTACCAAGAATCATCGATCATACTTGGGGGTTAATGTTTACATTTTAAATTACAATTACATATGGAATGATTGTAATTAAAGCTTTACTTGTAGTTGAAGTTTTTCTAATTACAATTACGTGCCTCTTTCGTGACACTTTCAATTCAAAAATCAAAATTCCGAATCGTGTTTGTAATTTCTATAATATTATTTTTCGATCCCATAAAGTACATATATATTCTGTATCCTTATAGATAACTAGTCGATTAAGCTATGTCCGTCTGTCTGTCCGTCCGTCTATATGTTTGTTTATTCAGTTTTTTAAGATTCCAGATATCTTCGATATCCGAATCTTCAATAATTGTGGGAGACTTGCTTTCAAGAAGTTTCATATTGAAAATCAGCAAAATCGCTCCATAAATAACTGAGATATAAGCAAAAACCTGAATCTACTTCTGAAAATTTCTTTAACAAATTATAAATAAAAGCATAAAAAACGAGATAAAGCAGGTAATACAGTTTATATTTGAGGATGGTAATGCAGTTTGTGGTTAAGTAATACAGTTATATATGTATCTTTTTGCGTAATACATCTTACATTTGTTTGTGTAGGGGACTTTCTGGTAGGTTTTCGTTTTTCAAAAGGTACTTTTTGAATTTTCTATAATATTGAACCTAAAAACATGAAATTTTACATGTAGAGCCCTAATAACACGATTAAATTCTACATAACTAACTCTGAAGTAAACGTAAATGCATCTACCAAAATTTATAAGAATACGCCCATATTAACCCTTACCCCCATATGAGCTCTCTTGTAGAAAATCTCTTTTTTGTAAAAAATATATAAACAAATACCAGAATTAAGGTAAAAAAACAAATTAAATGCTCTATTATTTAAAAAATAATCCAAATTTTTAATATACTCACTGGTGTAGGGTATTATATGGTCGGCCATGCCCGACTATACATTCATTCTTGTTTTTTATAATAAAATTTTTTAGGACATCATGGTGAAGGGTATATAAGATTCGATCAATTTGCGTTTCTCATCTTTTTATATGAAATCATATCATAAATTAATTAGAAATCGGAACTTTATTTGTTTTAAATTTTAATAAGAAAACGAGGTTGTCTGTAAATTACATTATCATTGAAAATTGTAGCTTCTTGTCTAGCTTCCTCCTCGTCTCAGAATCATCTTCTAAGTTGATTTAGCGATATCCGTCTGTCTGTCTGTCCGTCTTTCTGTTAGTCTATAGACTGCCATTGGTTTATTACGCACATTATCCAAATAAAATTCCTACAATAAACCATCAACAACTTTATTAAGCATTTATGAATATGGGTGTAAAAATTTAATGAATGAAAAAAGGTTTTATTTATTCAATTATTTTAATTAAATTATTTAATAAACTTCATTTCAAAATCCCTTTAGATACATTACAAAATATTTATTTAATTATAATAAATAATTTATTAAAATTTATTAAATACATATTTAAATAGTAATAGAAACCATTTAGTGTATTACAATAAAACTAATTTAGACACATTTCCATATTTGAATATTAATTTTAATTAAATTAGAATAGCGTTAATAATTTTTTGTGGTTAAAATGTCAAAATCTATCAACAAATAAAGGCAATCATTTTTATGCAGATTATAAATAGTTTACTGTAAACAAAAATATGCATAAAATTTTATAGAAATGTAAATATAAATACAAATATGTATGAATGTATGTATATCGTTAGCACATAAACAAAACTAATAAATATGGGAACGCTTGGTGTTTTAGCTAACGATATACTACATATTTGTGGTATAAATATACCGACAAACATAAAATAGTATGTTTGTATTTATGGCTAAAATGTAGATAAATTTTATGTCGAATATTTATAGCGTTTTGTATTAATTTAATAATTATCCAGAAACAAATATTTGCTGTTAAAAAAAATCCTTTTCCAACTTTAATACTCTTCATTTTCGTTCGAAGGATATTTATTATATGGAAAGCGCTTTTGAAAGGCCTCTTACATATATAATACCAATTTTATATATATATTATTTGCAAAAAATCCTAAAAACCTAAAAAAAGTTAAATATTATTCCCTCTACTTACCATCATAGGTTGACCTAGTATGTATGCATAAGTTTGTCATGCCGTTTATAATTTGGCTACTGTTACGTCGTTACCTTTTATCGATATCTGTAGTTAATTATACAAATTATACTACTATAGTGGGGAGGGTATTATAGGTAGGTAGGTAGGTTACGTGGGTTGCTCGCTAGCAAGCGAGTTCACTCGGAGGCCTCGGATGGCCCATTGTGATACCCTTAGAATTACCATTCCCTAGCGATGAGAGAATGGTTACCCTCCCTAATTTTGTTGACTACTTGGTTCGTTCGGTCTCCCTGTAAACCAGCCGGTGCTTTTAATAAAACCGATCATGTTTATCAGTGACGCATCTCTGAGACAGTCTAGATAATGAAAAAGAGTAGCCTGTGCTCTTGTAAGGCTGGACAGTCATATAGAAGGTGTTGTACCGGGTATTATACGTTTGTGCTGATGTTTGTAACCCAAAAAAATATTTATCCTACACCACCTTAAAGTAAACCGATGGACTCAGAATCAATTCCTGAGTCGATTAAGACATATCCGTCCGTCTGGCTGGCTGTCCATGTAAACCTTGTGCGCAAGCTACAGGCCACAATTTTCAAAATATTTTGATAAAATTTGGACCATACGAGTTTTTTGAAATCAGTCCATTATTTCACCTAGCCCCCATACCACCTTACCTTCCGATTTAGGGTTTTTAATTCATAACTACGTCAAATATACCACTATCTCACCAAAAATAGGCACAACTAAGTTTTATATAGGCGTAAATGACTGTGCCAATTCTTATAATGATAGGCCGTCGTTTGACCCTAGTCCCCATACAAACCCCTCTTTAAAAAATAACTTAAACGTCCAAAAATTTACTTATGACCATTAGTATCGCGATGAAATTCATCATAACTAACCTTTGTATAAAATTACATCCCTCTTCCCAATTTGTTGAGGATCGGCCTATATTTGACCCTAAATCCCATTAAAGCCTCTTTTAGAAATTTAGTTTTTCTTCAATAAATTGCTTAAATACATCGGAATTAAGGTAAAATTCAACATAAAACACAACAGACCCGATAGAGGCCTAGGTGTATTTCTTCGGATTAGATGTATATACATCCTCCTTTCAAACTAACTAACTAACTAAAACTAACTACCCATGGTGTAGGGTATCATATAGTCGGCCATGTCCGACTATACTTTCCTACTTGTTTTATTTTATATATAAAACTTATTTAACAAATTCTGAAAAGACCATACAGTTTAACTTGGAATTGTATTTTTTATACAAAATACATATTTTTTTTTTTTTTAATTTTAACTTGTAACGGAAACCATAAACTATTGTAAATCATTTATATATTGTCCTTAAATTATTTGATTTATTATTATTTTTTTTAATAAATATTAAATAATTGAAATTATGCAAATAAATTCCGTTAACTATTTTATATTTTAATAATTTAAGTCAATATTTATTAATGGTTGCAAAATTAAAGTAAAATGTATAATTAAATTACGGAATAAAGTGTACATTTATTAAATAAAAATAAATATAACGACATTTTCATATTTCATGTTTAATTGATGTTATAAAACATAAAAACAGTTGTTAAAGTATAGCAAGCAATATGTGAAAGTGAATAAGTTTTTTTAATAAAATTTTAATAGAACTTTTTTTGTAATATACATTTTTTATTTGATTCAAATTTTCCCTTTTTTACATTACTTAGAGATCGTAAATATTTTTATAGTAAAATTACGTCGAGAGTCGAAGTTTTGTACTATTTAGTACATTTTCGTACGAAATTTTTATAAGATATCTTATTCCGTTTTGTTCTAATTTTTGTTTAAAAGCTTTTGTATTTTTCCCATTAAATTGGTATTTAGTATTTCTTGCTTTTATTTTAACATTTCATTCAGATTTGTAGCCTTTAATACCCTCATTTTATGAAAGGGACTTTTTATAGGGTCAAATGGGTCCCGCTAATTTCGAAATTCGGCAAGGTCATCAAGGCTTGTATAAAACATAGTTGTCCCACCTTCTATTGAGATACAAATATTTTTTACATAATTAAGAGCTCAAAAGCACTTTTCGGGGGGATCAGTTGTCTGGGCGCCAGGTTAAATAATGAACAGATTTTCAATAAGCTTTGTCCTTGGGCCAAAAGAAACGTATGTGCCGAATTTCATCAATTTATTTAAAAAATTGCGAACTGTACTTTGATAACAACGTTTACAGACGGACGGACGGACATCGTTAAATTGTGTCAGAAAGTAATTCTGAGTCAAGGTGGGTATAAGTAGTACTAATATTTTAGTGCGTTACAAACATCAGCACAAATGCACTATAGTGGTGTAGGGTATAAATACTATGATGAAGGATATATAAGATTGCGCACAGTTTTTCTGAAGTTTCAATGTGAATCTTAAGGATTTCTGCACTAAATTTTCATTAGACTTCTTATTTCTGTTTATACTCAATTTTTGAAAACTCACTTTTTATTTGAAAGCCAGGTTCTTTTTTGCAGCCTTTCGTTTTTTTTCTTTTTAATTTACTTTAAAAATCCTGTATCTCTTTATAATAGATTTTCATTGGAAATTCCAGTTTACTAAATATTCATTAAGATTTACAACAAAATTGTTATGTGTTTAAATTTATAACTCGTTTTTTATGCCCTACACCACTTTAGTGGGGAGTGGGTGTTTGTGCTGTTGTTTGTAACGCACAATAATATTAGAATCATTTTCTGAGTCGATTAAACTATGCCCGTCCGTCTGTCCC